TTTGGAATTCAGGAAAAGCCAACCAGCATTTAGCATCAACACAGATCTCAAGTCTGATAAAAAACAAACAAACAACAACAACAACAACAAAAAATGTTTATAATCCATTCTCTCGGAAAGCCTGCTACCTGGAGGCTTCATCTGCATGATGAAACCTTGGTCTCCACAATCCTTTATCGCAACCCAGACATTCCTTTCTATTGATAATAACTCTTTTCAACAAAGTAAAATTTAAAATCTATGTATAACTTGGAAGCCCCCACTTTGTCCTGCCTTTCTGGACCAAACTAACATTTATCTTAACTGTATTTGATTGATGTCTCATTTCTCCCCAAAATGCATACAACTAAGCTGTGCCCTGACCACCTTGGGCACATGTTCTCAGGGTCTCCTGAGGGCCGTGTCACAGGCTGTTGGTCACTCATATTTGGCTCAGAATAAATCTCTTCAAATATTTTTAGTTTGACTTTTTTTTTTTTTTTTTGACAGAGTCTTGCTTTGTTGCCTAGGCTGGAGTGCAGTGGTGAGATCTGGGCTCACTGCAATCTCTGCCTCCCGCGTTCAAGCAGTTCTCTTTGCCTCAGCCTCCGGAGCAGCTGGGATTACAGGCACCCACCACCATGCCCGGCTAATTTTTGTATTTTTAGTAGAGATTGGCTTTCACCATGTTAGCCAGGCTGGTCTGGAACTCCTGACCTCAGGTGATCCACCTGCCTCGGCCTCCCAAAGTGCTGGGATTACAGGCGTGAGCCACTGCGCCCAGCCTTTCTCTCTCTCTCTCTTTTTTTTTTTAAGAGTCAAGGTCTTGCTCTGTCACTCAAGCTGGAGTGCAATGGCATGGTCCTAGCTCACTGCAGCCTCGAATTCCCACCTCAGTCTCCTAAGTAGCTGAGACTACAGGCATGCACCACCTTGCCCTGTTTCTGAACAGTTTTAAATGGAATCCAGTTGATCCCATTAAGAAATCATGCTGTGACCCATGTTGAGAGAGGAGTAATATTATTTGTCCAAGAGAGGCCTCTGAGCTTGGCTGTTAGTGGAGGGGAGTTGCAAGGCTATTTCTGGCGAAGCCTGGAGTGGGTGAAAGATGTGGGGGTGGGAGGTGTCAGAGGTGCTTGGAGAGGAAACCTGAGCCTGGGGCTTGGAGCCCAGAGTCTGGGAAGAAGGGCAAGTGCTTCGGTGAGGGAGGAGCTGGGGCAGGGCAGCCCTGTCCCCAGGGCCCAGTGGGGTGAGGCCTCGGCAGCTGGGAGGGAAGCGGGTGGGACAGGAATGTCCCTCTTCCCAGGCACCTGTCCTCAGGCTGGCCGACCTGTGACCCCATCCCACAGGCAGGAAACGGACACCACCCCAGTGCCTACCAGGTACCTGCACTTAGAGTAGGGATATTGGTAACGAACCATCGAGAGCCGTTCACAAGCCAGGAGCTGTTCTATGTGTTTCTAAGCATCAGCTCCACCAAGCCGCGTGATGGAAGAGGCATGACCACGTGCCCATTGTACCGGTGGGGAATCGGCTCAGAGAGGTGGAGGTACTTGCCCAAGGACGCACCCCCGCGCTGAGAGTGATGGAGCCGTGGTCAGCGTCTGGGTGCCTGGAACAAGGGGCAGGCTGGGCTCAGAGCTGAGGAGATCCTTGTGCTGTGGAGCCAGAGGCAGAAGGAAACAACCACCTTGAGGAAAGCAGGCGGAATCTGGGATGGGGAAGCCACACCCTGGGCCTTGAAGGGTCTATGCCATTTGCACTGGAAGAGATGTACAGGGAAAAGTTTTCCAGGGGAGGGAACAGCGTAAGGAAAGGCATAGAGGCAGGCAAGTGCAGGGGACATTTGAGACAGGGTGAGAAGCCTGGCAGGGGCCTCTGCCAACACTTTGTGGGTCATGAGGCCACTTGAGAAGTCAGCTGAGGGTGGAACTGCTGCATCTTGAAAGTGCTGTGAGGCTGAAAATCCCCGGCATTTACCAAGGTAGCCGAGGGGGGCTGTCCCCTACCTCCCTGTGTGGTTTCTCAAATTGTCAAGGGTAAGGAGGAAAGTCTGGGAGCCAAAGTTCCCTGAGGCAGGGCTGGAGGGTGTGGAGGGGCTCCTCTGGGACCTACACGCAGGACCCCGTGTGGCCTGGGCACTGTGGATGCGCAGGAAGCCGGCATTCCTTCCCGTGAGCCCGAGGAGAATGGCCTCTGTGTGGGCCACAACAAAAAGGCTTTTCTGCCAAGTTGAAGGGGGAGGAAGCAGCCAATTCAGCCCCTGCCCCAGCCTGAAAGAAGGCTCTGTTGGTGGCCCTGGGGTCTTCGATGCATAGAATGTGCGAGGAGGAAGGCTGATGGGCAGGGGCCACCTTGCCCCTGTCCCGATGCTGCGGCAGCACCAGGGTCGGGTAGAGCTGGGCTGCGGTACAAGTTAGTCCAGCTGGGTCCTAAGGGCATGGCCATTTCCTAGCTGTGTGACGTTGGCCAAGTCACTTCACCTCTCTGAGCCTCTGTTCTCCTGAGTAAAATGTAGATGGGAAACTTGTGAGCCTTAGGGTCACAATCACATATTTAGCACGTGCCTGGTGCCAGGCCCTGTTGCCAACACCTTGCAGCCACCCAGCATCCTCTGTCCACCTCCCACAGGCTGCAGCATCAGGGCTCAGGCACCGGATGTTTAAGACTCTAAAACTCCAAGCTGTGCAAATGCAGGGGAAAAAAAGTTATAAGGAAACATGTCAAATCATGTCAAATTGTCAACACAGGCTGGGAGATTATGGCGACTGAGACTTTTCTTCTTTTTGCTTATCATTAATGTCTCAGTTTATGCAGCTGGGAATTAGTAAAAATGTAAAGGAAAAATGGCTGCTGAGGGAATGGGGGCTGCGAGGGGCCCAAGGTGAGTTTAGGTTACAGTCACCTTAAAAAACAAACAAAAAAACAATTTAAAGATGCAGGCTCCTGTTTAATCCTGGGTAGAAGGGACGGGGGTTAGGCCTCAGGCAGGCCTGGGCTCCGGACTCTCTGGACGTGGGGGGAGACAGGGCCTAGCTGCCCTGCCCACCCCTCCTCATGCAAAGCCCCCTGTAAGGATAGATAGGGCTCTTGGATGGGCCGTGCCTTCAGCCACTGGACCTCTAAGATTTTAGCAGCGAGCAAGAGGGAGGAAGACTCATTAGGCAGTTTATTAGGCAGTTTCCTGAGGAGCTGAGGCCTCTGCCAACTCTCTCCGCTGTCCTTGGCTGTGAGGAAGGGCTTGACTCAAGGCCTTTCAAACTCTCCTCTCATCCCTGGGCCCCCACACTGCCCTCCACCTGCCTGGTGACCTCTGGGCTTTTGGGGGACCCTAGGGACTCAGGGGACCTGGAGGGACCCTGTGGCTTCTGCCACAGGAAAGCTGACAAGATGGCAGCTGCTTGGAATCCCCCCTGCTGCTGCCAAGGCCCCTGTGGTGGGGGAGCTCACCGGCTGTTTCCTAGATGAGCCTGAGAGAGAGGCCTTCGAGGTTTCCAAGGGCCAGCACTTCCTATTCTCCTCAGCCAGTTTCAACACAAAGAGAGGAAGGGGCAGGATGGGATGGGACCGGTTGTGGGTGTGGGGGCTGGGCCTGGAACAGGAGGAAGGACCCTGCCTGAGGACTTGCAGAGGCCTGGCCTGCTCCATGGTGGGGGTGCGACCCCTACTGCGGCAAATCATCACATTCCTGGGGGCCCAGGCTAGTACCTAAGAGGCCTGGCCAAGAGCATGGATGTGGGGGCTAAGGAGGACCTCCCGGGTCCACAGCCATGCTCAGACTCAAGGGACCGTGACGCCTCAGTCTCCTGCCCTCCTGGGGTATCACTTGCACCCTGCACAGGCCTGGGTGGGATTTTCTGCTTCTCAAAGATGAAAGGGCAGGTCTTGGGTGTCTGCCACTCTGAGCAGCATGTGTGGGGAAGGGAACTTTTGGAATCAAAGTGGCACCATTTCCTATCCCTCTCTGTGCCCGGCTCTGGGCTCCCGTTAGTATTCAGAACCCAGCCTGGGAGGCCTGGCCTGGCTCTTCCTCCACTCCTAGATGGGAAGGGCTTGTGGCAAACTGGGTTGTCTTCTCAGCAGGAACAAACAGCAAACTAACTCCATGCTCCCTCCTGCCCCACCCCGGCAGGGTGACCCCAGGTGCCCTGCCTCTCCCTTTTCTGGACTCTTGAGGGCAGCCCTAAGCTCTGCCCCTCCCAGGGCCTAGTTTCCAAGGGCCATTGGGAAGGAGCCCCCACGGAATTGGAACAAGGTCTCCTTGGCACTGAGGTCAAGCCCCCTAACCCTAGCAAGGGCTGGACCCCCACCACCTGCACGCCCTTCCAGCTGGAGGCTCCAGCCCAAGGCCTTACAAACAAGAACACACTTGCCAGCTGTACAATTTACTCAGTGCACATTATTTACAGAAATCAATGTATGGGGGTGGACACGAAACCCCCGCAGCCCCACCCCTTGGCTGGCTCTCCGGTTCTGCAGGGGGCAGAAGCTGCCGGACCCGCACTTGGTGCCAGTGCACGAGAAACCACTTGCAGAGGCCAGCTGAACCCTTCGCCCCCAAAGCGCCTCGGGGATCCTGGGTGGCAGACCCCACTCGCTCAGGGCCATGGGGAAGCAGAGCCAGCTGTACAGTACCATTTCCCACAGCAGCCACAGCCTCCTGCTTGCTTTGGGAAGGAAAAGAGGAAGGAGGCATCTCTGTCCTCAGGGCTGAACCCCGGAGGAGGGCAGCCTCAGGCCACAATGGGCTCCTTAGTGGGGTTCACAGTCTGATGCGTGGCTGGCCTATCCCCACCAGTGTCTCTCCTCCCAGGACCCTGCGGGCACAGGGAGCTGGGAGGAACTCCGCATGCCCAGTGCCTGGCACTGTGGGCACCCAAAAGGTGGGCACCCATTCACGGCCATCCACTGCCCAGGCCTAGGCACCCGTCAGCCCCCTCTCCCTGGGGCTCAGGACACTGGCAGCTGAAGCCTGAGGGAGCTGGAGCTTAGGCCCCTGAGGCTGGTGGTGTGAGTGGGAGAGGGAGGCATCTCTGCTAGGGGCGAGGCTGCTGCTACCCCGGGGAGAGGGGCCTTGGCATACTCCCTTTGGTCCGTGGTGAGGCAGGCCCAGGGCCCTTTCTCCAGAGAGGGAAGGAGGTGTGGGCCCAAGGGGAGGTGGGAGCTGGGAGTTGCTGCTGGGGGTGGGCTGGGTTCTCAGGCACAAGGAGCCAGGGTCGCTGAGGCTGTCAGAAGTGGATTGGGAAGGAACCAAGCCTCAACACAGGCTCAGGGGCCACGGCCCACCTCCCTTCCAGGTCCCCTTCGGCCTGGGGCTGCCCCTGGGTGGAAAGCTCTTCCTCAGGCCCAGAGAGACTCACTTGGGAGGGAGCGGACCAGGGGGGCCAGCCAGTCTCCAACTGGGTAAAGAGTCTGCAGTTACGGCCCGGGGCTCAGGCTGAGGAGGGGCTACTCTTCCAATGTGGGCCTCTGCCCCTCTGCTCCCCTAGCTGTGGCCAAGCCAGAGGACGATAGGGGCCTAATTCCCTGTCTGGAGCAGAACTACAGTTAGAAAATTCTAAACACCCTTCCCCGGTCGGGGAAACAGAAACAAATGGTCAAGTAAGGTGCCAAAAACAAAACAAAACAAACACCTGGGCATAAATAATGAGGGCGGGGCAGACAGGGTGTGTGAGGGCTGAGAGGGGCCCCTACCTGGGGGCGGAGGGAGCCCCTGGGAGCCATCTCAAAACCACAGGTGCCCCCTGAGCACCGTGAGCAGGAGCGCCGGGGGGTCAGACCCACTCCTGCAGCGAGCGCTTGCAGTACAGCAGCACGCGTGGCGCACCCTTGCGCTGCATCTGCACAAGCGCATATGTGAGGCCCAGGACGCAGAGCAGCAGCAGCAGTGGCACCAGCACCATCACCACGTTCACCGTCCGTGCCACCTCCTCCATCTGCACCACCACGCGGCTGCCCCCGTCCTTGTTGGCCCCAGCCCCAGAGTCCCCATCCCCATCCTCCATGTTGCTCTCTGCGCTGTCCACCCCGGGCTCTGTGCCCCCGTGGGGGTTGAAGGGCGGCCGGGCCACGTCGGGCCACCGGGGGCCTGGCTCCACGTGCTCCTGGCAGCCCATGAAATCCCGCAGGATGGACTTGGGGTAGCCGGGCTCCATCCGCAGGCGCTCATTGTCGAATTTCCAGTATTTGGTGCCCTTGTAGAAGTAGGTGTAGGCTGTGGGGGCAAGGAGGCCAGAGTGGCTTCAGGTCGAGCCCAACCACCAGTGAGACCATCAAAGGCCAGGACATGCCGAGGGCTTCAAAACGCCCTTCTTGTCATTTGCTTCCCTGGGCATTTTCAAATCTTCCCTTTCTCAACTTGGAGGAGCCAGACTGAGGCTCAGAGGGTTTTGGGCCGAGGGCACGACTAGAATCCTGGGCTTCCTGACCAGACTGACATTAGCTGGGGTAGGGCCTGGAAGGGTCCTACAGCCTGCTGGGTTGGGTGCTGCAGTAAGGGATCCTGCTGCCCCTTGCCAGAACTGGTTTCACCTCATACCAGAGGTTCAGGGTCTTGCTCAAGGCCACACAGCACCCCACAGTTGTTCTAGAGCGGAAGGAACCTGGTGCTGCCTTGGGCTGGCTCTCTGACCTTGGACACCTTGCCAGCATCCCATCAACACCAGGCAGGGTCAGGTTTCAATCAAGGGGTGAGCAAAAGAGATCAGAGCAGCTGCATAGTGCCAAGCTCACATACAGAAGCTGTGTAACGGGCCTGAGCACTGGCGAAGCAGACAGGGTCCCCCCTGAGTCACCCAAGCTGAAGTGTAGTGGTGCAATCACGGCCCACTGCAGCCTTGACCTCCCAGACTCAAGCGATCCTCCCACCGCAGGCTCCTAAATAACTGAGACTATAGGTGCAAGCCACCACACCTGGCCGATTTAAAAAATTTTTTTTGTAGAGATCGAGTCTCACTATGTTATCCAGGCTGGTCTCGAACTCCTGGACTCAAGCGATCCTCTCGCATCGGCCTCTCCAAGAGCTGGGATTACAGGTGTGAGCCACTACACCTGGCTGATTTTTCTTAAATGCACTAGAGACCTTGCTAGAGAAATAGAAGAGGCACAGCTCTCTGTCTCTCGGTTATAATGACAGAGACAGGGCTTTCCTTCTAGGCAGATGAGCGATGCCCTGGGAGGATTTTCACCCCTAACACTCTGAGCCAAGCCTGCCCCACTCAGGCTCAAGGCTCCCCTGGGATTGCCTGGGGGCGGCTGGACTCTGTGGGCATCAGGGCAGTTCCGAGCTGCAGCTCCGGATGCAGGCAGAACTGGCCTGGAATCCTGACTCCATACCGTCCTGGCTGTGGGATTTGGGCACTCTGCTCAAGCTCTCTGGTTTATTAGTTTGCCTGTATATAAAAAGGGAATTTTAACCACGCGGGAAGGACCGGGGTGTCAAGCTAGATAAGCTCCCAGCCCAGAGCGTGACACAGCGTGTCCCCCATACACACCATCATAGTGCCAGGTGACCGTGGGCAAGCCCTGCCCCATGGTGTGTGTAGCAGGGGTTATTAGGTGCTGGGCAAACTGGGAGGGGCTGGCCAGGTACCTGCATCATTGCTCAGGAAGGCCCCTTTAGGGGAGGCAGGGATCCCCTGCCAGATACTGATGGACTTGGGGTAGCCAGGGTCTCCACGCTGTGTCTCCTCGTTGAAGCGCCAGTACCTGCGACCAAAAGCACCAGGCTGTGGACCTAGAGACCCTGCTTGGGCCAGGACCCATTCCCCACAGGCAGTGGATTCTTTCTGGGTAGGCCTGAGGTTGAGGGGGGCCTAGCCGGGGCCTTCTCCCCTTAGGGGAGGGGTACACTGCTCACCTGTCCTCTTGGAAGAAGAAAGTGTGGCCTGTGGGCTCCCACCAGATGGCTGTGTCGATGCGGTCATAGGGGATGCCCAGGCCATAGCTGGTCAGCGGCTGTGGGTAGCCAGGCTCCAGGTTGGCTTCTCGAAAGAGCCAGTAGCGGTCACCTGCAGGAGAGGTGGGAGGCAAAGTGAGGACAGGCCTGGGGCTAAGGGGTGTGTGTGGGAAAAGAATGAAAGAATGCTCTTCTGGGCCCACAAATCCATTCATATCCACTGCTGTCCCCCTAAGGCACACAAAATCACACTCACACCCCTCTACATATCCATGACAACATACAATGCAGTCACCCGCACATCACATGCCGCACTCACGGACACCTGAGGCACACTTGTTCCCATGAGCAAGTCACCCGCTCACACCCGTACATGCCACACGCCACCCACCCCCACACATATAGTTCTTGCATGGGGAGGGGGCTGCCTGGTCTCTGGGTCTGGGGGCTGTGTCCCTGGAGCACACTCGCAGCCCTCAGTGTGTGGCCCAGCGCTCCCTGCTTTTAGTATGGGGCAGCCCTGTCCTCATGCCTTGCTCATGCCTCGCTGAAGCTCAGGGCAGTGGGGTTAGAGCCCCAGCGGACCCACCACGGGGCGCTGCCCTGCAAGACCTTGTCTCTGCAGACAGACCACAGAAATCCGGCCCCGGAGTGGGCTGGGGGCACCTGTTCTTATGAGGATGGGGCTGCTGGAGGCAAAGAGGCAAGGACAGAGGGAAGCAGGGCTGAGCCCTGTGCTGCACGAGGTGGCCAGGTACTTCCGGGTCGTAGGTCCAACTCTGCCCCCGGCCTCTATCTTCCTCCCGTCCCCACCTTGCTGCTGTGTCCCCATCCTCCCAGAGTGAGCCCACAGTTGGGGCACAGGACCAGACATGCAACGCAGCCCTTCACCTCATCTTCCCTCGGGTCCAGCAGGGTCAGAGGTCATGGCAGGAAGGGTGCCCAGCCCCCTAACCCTACCCCTGCTCACCTTTGAAGAAGACAAAACGACCGTCTTGGCGCTCGTAGGCAGCGCTGATGTCACTAGGCAGACCACGCCAGAAGTGCCCAATGGGCATGGGATAGTTGTCCAGGACGCGGTTGTGCCGGACTCGCCAGAACCAGCGGCCCTGGGGAGGGCACGGTGTGAGCAGGCAGCACAGGCAAGCTGCTTCGGCCAAGAGGTGCCATCCTCATACCACCCCTTCCCAGGTGAGGGTGGGCCCAGGGAGAGGACACTGAGATACTGAGGCAGGCAGTGGCTTGGAAACTCAGGGCTGCACAGAAACAGCCCTGAGCTGGGGAGCTGGCACTAGGGCTTGCTATGTGACCCTGGACAAGTCCCTCAACCTCTCAGGCTGGATTCCGCCTCGTCTAGAGCTGAGGGCTTAATGGCTCCCCAGGTCCTGCTGAGTGAGGGTGGGACAGGGGGCCCAGAGCAGCCAGCGAAAAGGCTCAGGGACAGGCATGGGAGGCAGGGCCAGACCTTGAACACGAACATCTCCCCGCGAAGCATGGCCACTGTGTCAAAGTCCCCGTCGCAGATGTTGGGGCCATACTGGTCGGGCCGCTCTGTGGCTCGGGGCTGGGCTGGGGGGCCCGGCTTTGGGGGCCGCTCTGGCTTCCCACCTGGGGGTGGTGGCTGGGGAGGCCGGGGCGGCCGGTGGTCGGGCCGGCCTGGCCGCCGTGGCGTCACAGTGGGGAGAGGCTGGGTGGGCTGTGGTTGACCGTCTGGGGTACCTGCAGAGAGGCGGTCTGTTCAGAAGTGAGGTCTGTGTTCCTACTCAGAATCCTGGGCCCCAGGCACCCTGCACAGGCCCACCCAGGTGGAAAGTAAAATCCTGTCCAGCTACAGCAGACCCCTCCCCAACACCTGCCTCCATCCTCGGTGGGACCTGGGTCCTCCTCCTTCTAGCCCCACCTCGACCTCCCCACACTGACCTTGCGTCACTGTGCTCCTGAGGGTGTCTGCCTGCATGTCCCCTTGGGGACATTCCCCTTGGGATGCCAGCCTGCTCCAGCAGAGGCTCCAGGCCCTGGCTTCAGGCGTTTTGGACTCTGCATTTCCAAGTTGCTGGGGATGCAGCAAGGGGTGCCCATCAAGTGCCCAGCATGGCAGGAGCTGCCGGCCCCGAGCAGGGCTCGGTGTGAGCACAGGGTGCAGGCCCACTGAACTGGCCCAGGGGACCTCACTGCTGGAGACTTTCTCGGGTGGGCCCTGGGTGGGGGGTGGCACTTCCTCAAAGCCACTGGGAAGTGATAAACTGGCAACACTGTGAACAGAGCTGTGACAGGCTCAGGCTGGAAGTGACGGTGGGAGGGGGCGGGTCCTGGGATCCCCGAGGCACTTGTGGTCTAGTAAGAATACTGCCAAGGGTAAGGAGAGGAGGGTCATGAGGAACAATGGTGCCACCTGTGTCCCTTCAAGGCCTCTAGCCTGCAGCCACAGCCTCGAGTGAGGGCCAGGCCGCTGGAGGCAGTCAGCTCTGGGTTTCACTTCCAGCACCACCATTTATTCCCCAAATGATGTGGGCAAGTCACGAATCCTCACTGGGCTTTGGGTTTCTCATCTACAAAATGGGGATGGCAGTAATGCCTACTCCTCATTGGGCAGGGACTTGAGAGCGGCATGCAGAGCCTGCTGGTAACAGCCCACGCACCGTAGAGCTGCTGGATGCCACGGAGATCATCCTCGGGCAGCTTGAAGTTGTCCACGTCCTTCCACTGGTAGAACGGCGCCATGATGGCATTGGGGTTGCTGGAGTGCTCCAGCCCCAGCGCGTGGCCCAGCTCATGCACTGCCACCAGGAAGAGGTTGTTTCCTTTCGGGGACAGGAGGAGGCAGCACAGTCAGCTCTGGCCAGTCCCAGGACCTAACCACCCCGGACCCTCCAGGCTGAGGCTGCCAGAGAGCCTGCCCTTGCTTCCCTCTTGGAAGAGGCTGAGCTCTTTTGGTCTACAACAACCCTCTCTGAGAAATGGGTACAATCATCCTTTCTTGCCTCCCCTTGGAGATGGTGGGACAACAGACTGAAATCGAGTGTAGTGATCCGGAGACAAACACAGGGGAACTCTCTCCTCCCAGCTCCGCAGCTGCTGAACCCACTCAGCAGGGCACTGTTGCCCAGCTCTGGCGCTACCTGCCCTGCCCCCAACCCTGGCTAGCTGTCCTCACCATGCAGGTCAGTGCTGGAGAAGGTCCAGGGCTCATCTGCGTCAAAATGGGTGTCCCCGCCCAGGCCGGGGCCAGGGAAATAGGCGTGGGCCAGAAAGCCACCGGTGCCGTCAAACGGCGAGCTGTCGCCGTGGAAGCCAGAGGCAAAGAGTACCATGATGTCGGCCTCCTTCTGCCGCCGCAGCCGGATGTCCTCATAGGGCACCTCCTGGAAGACCAGGGGTGTGGCCTGCTCCCACACGCGGAAGGCCCTGCGCACCGCCTCCATCGAGTGGTACCAGCCCAGCTTCTCCGTGTAGTTCTGGATGCTGGGGGTGGGTGGGAGAGGAGTGAGCGGATACAGGGCCAAGGGCCTACTGTCCTCTGCTGGCATGTTCCCAAGAGGGCACGCAAGGTCACCAACAAGCCCGTTAGTATCAATTGGCAGTTTGCTTTGATGTAAATCATAATTTGAATTTGTCAAATCCAGGAGATTATGAAGATATCATTAAATTAAGATTGCACTATGGCAAATAAACTAATTTTAAGTAAGAGAGACATTAAGTAAACTAAAATACAGGTACTGTGTGGCTGGGGGAAAGATCTAGAAAATGGGATGCAAATGGGTGAGGTTTGGGAAACACAGGCTGAGCAGTTCTGAATGTTGAGCTCCAGGGTCAGACAGACCTGAGTTCAAGGCCTGGCTCTAACAGTATCTGTGTGACCTTGGGTAAGTAACTTAGTCTATTTCCAACTTCTTTCTTTTTTTTTTTTTGAGATGGAGTCTTGCTCTGTCACCCAGGCTGGAGTACAGTGGCACGATCTTGGCTCACTGCAACCTCCGCCTCCCAGGTTCAAGGGATTCTCCTGCCTCAGCCTCCTGAGTAGCTGGGACTACAGGCACATGCCACCACACACAGCTAATTTTGTATTTTTAGTAGAGATGGGGTTTCACCATGTTGGTCAGGCTGGTCTTGAACTCCTGACCTAGTGATCCGCCTGCCTCGGCCTCTCAAAGTGCTGAGATTACAGGCATGAGCCACTGGACCTGGCCTTCTTTTTTTTTTTTTTTGAGATAGAGTTTTGCTCTTGTTGCCCAGGCTGGAGTGCAGTGGTACGATCTCAGCTCACTGCAACCTCTGCCTCCTGGGTTCAAGCGAGTCTCCTACCTCAGACTCCTGAGTAGCTGGGATCTCGAGTAGCTGGGATTACACCACCACACTTGGCTAATTTTGTATTTTTAGTAGAGACCGGGCTTTTCCATGTTGGTCAGGCTGATCTTGAACTCCCGACCTCAGGTGATCCACTGGCCTTAGCCTCCCAAAGTGCTGGGATTACAGGCGTGAGCCACTGTGCCTGGCCAGTTTCTTTATCTGTTAAGTTAGAAAAGTGTGTGTGTGTGTGTGTGTGTGTTACTTTCTTCACAGGGTTCCAGTGAGGATTAGAGGAAGTAAGCTGTAGCCAGAGCCTGCATTTGATGAAGTATGGCGAAGCCTGCTCTTACGCATATAAATCACTTTCAGCTCTGTGTGCTAGAGAGACTTCCATTAAACCTGAAGGGAATATTTTAGTTGGTTGTACCTTGAATTCACTCTCGGGGCTTGAGGTCTAAGTGACCATAGGAGCCACTCTTCCTTGGGAGATGGAATTCAGAGTGGGAACAGAGCCAGACTGGAACAAAAAGGGGAGTCCTTGGGGCAAAATCACATGGCTCAAGGCACACTTGGCTGGGGGCTTTTCTTGCTCAAGGACTCAGCAAAAAGGATGAGGGTCCCTGATCCAAGGATTCTGCAGGCAACTTGCCTGTTCACTTGATGGATGCCTGGATTCCTGCACCCCAGCCATCCTCCACCCCTCGCCGCAGTCTGTGCTGGGGCAGTAGCCCAGCTGTGCCCAGTGAGGCCAGCCCCTGTCTGCAGGGCAGTGGGAGGTGGGGAAGGACAGGGCGGAAGTAGCTTGAAGGGTCCTGACCTTCTCTCAAGGGAGACTGCCTGGCATGTGTGGCTGGTCTCATCAGTGTGGGAGTGGGCTGGTCTGTTGAGGCTGGGTGCCCCGGGATGGGCTCTGGGAAAGGAGGCCTGAGGCTCGGCCTGCCAAGGGGCAGACGCCTCCCTGGGCAGCTGAGCCCCCTACCTGAAGGTCAGATGGTGGTTGTTCCACTTCCTCCCGGTGAGGGCATAGCGCTTCCGCCGCCGCCGCAGATTGGCTTTCACTCGTACCCCGAACTGGTCCGGCACCCCACAGCGGGGCCGCTTCATCCACCTGTGACATGGACACAGAGGGGTGGGCATGGAGCCTCTCCTCCACCCACCTGCCTGTTCTGGTACTGCCACTTCCAGGCTTCCCAGCTGCCCCTCCTATGACATGGTGGGGATGGGGGACTCTCAGCTTCAACTTCCAGTAAAATGGGCAAAATGCCCATATTGGAAGACTGAGTGCCCAGAAGTGGCTCAGTCAAGGTGAGCCCTTCTCTCCTTATCACCCAGTAATGGAGGGTCGCTCAAGACCTTCTGTCCTGGATACGTTATGCCCTGTGCATTCTTTTCAGGGACATGGCTTTAGGTCATGTCACTTGTTAGATTCATAGCCATGCCTAGCTAGGATTTCCCATCCACAGCTCCTGGACTGCACCTCCACACTCCCCTGGCCATGTCAGACATCACTAATCGATCACTGTGCTCCTTACTGCCAAGGCCTGGATTCTGCCCTTGGAGCTTTCTCAACACAAGGCTTTGGGCAGCCACTCCAACCAATGAGAACTGGCATGGAGGACCAAACCATTTGGCATCTCTTATCTAGGCCACTCTTTTCTGGAAACTCCACATGCTGAGCCCTCTAGAACAGGCCAGATGGAGGGCAGGTGTCTGTGGGGTCTGGATGAGGGGGGAACTCACTCCTTGGTCTCTTCGTCGAGCACACCCGTGACTGGGATTCCGTAGAAGCGCTGCATCTCAGCAAGGGCTGAGGCCAAGATCTGGGCGGAACGCATGGTGGACATATGGCGGCTGGGCTGGGGTAGGTAGCCATAGAGCCGCAGCCAGTTCTGCAAAGAAGCCACAACCCCGTCAGCAGGTCCTGGCACTGCTACCTCCAAACATGTACAGCCTGTGCCAACTGCTTCCTACCACCTCCACCACCGCTGCCCTATCTGAGCCGTCATCACCTCCTGTCCAGGTGACCATGTGAGCCTCAGCACCCTCCTCCCTGTCATCTCTCCTCACAAGAGCCAGAACAAAGGCCAGGTCAGATCTGGTCAATCCTCTGCTTAGAACCCTCTGAAGATATCCCATTGCAAAGGAAAAGCCATTTGTACAGGAGCCACAAGGTCCTCACTCTGTCACCCCACCTTAGCCAGCCCTCACAATTCACCCAGCTGGGCACGCTCCTGCCTCAGGCCCTTTGCACTTGCTGCCCCTGCTGCTTGATGCACTCTCCCGCCAGACAACTGTGTGGCTTTCATCCTCATTTTCTTCAGGTCGTTGTTTCCATACCACCTTATCTAAGAGGTGTTCTCTGACATGTTAAAAAGGCCCCATCAGCTATACCCTGCAGCCCCTCCTTCCCCCCATGCTTATCACCCATCTAATGTACTGTATATTTCGATTAGGTGTTTGCTATTTGTCTTCCCCCATTAGGACAGAAGCCGTGTCCACAGTAGCTGACAACTGCACTGGCCCCTCCAGGGTCGGCCCCTACCAGGCCAAGGAGACTGCTGGGGACCCAAAAGGATTGAGGACCTCTTGAGGCCTCACCCTTTGGCACTGCTCCCCAAAGACCTTAAATCTCCTGGAAAGAGTGGACAGATGCAGGTACCCACCCAGGATGGAGGGCGGGATAGAAGCCTGAAGCCCAGGCCCTGGTCAACTACAGTCTTCATTCTCCCTGGGCCCCAGCTTCCTCACCTATAGAATGGGGAACCATGGGCTGTTGAGGGGTGAGGTTTGAGGAAGGCAGCCTTCGAAAAAGCTGGTACACAACAGGTGTGCCCTTCCCTTTCTAGGGCTTGCTTGGCAAGTCTTCTCATCCATCTACCACCCACCCTGCCAGATGTTTCTGAACACCTTCTGTGCCAGCTGGGGGCCACGGGAGGACTAGGCTGAGGCATCCCGGCCTTCAGGAACTTACAGTCTTCCTGGGAGACCCAGCCCACCCAAAAAGCAAGGAACCCACACCCCACGAGTCGCATGGCCAAGCCAGAGGGCAGAGCCAGGCCGAGCTGTGGTAGAGAGGGGGTTCTGCCCTGTCTGCTTCATGTCCTCAAGCCTTCAAGAGCACGGTGACCGCCATGGGAGGCAGTGAGCAGAGACCAGGGGCTGCCCTGGACCTTGGCCACTGCAAGTGTCTGTGTCTGACTTGTCTGGGTCTCTAGGGGTATCCAGAATGAGAAGCCCTTAAGGCCGGCCCTCTGAGTGCTCTGGGAGGTGAGGGCTACACCCCGAGGGCCCAGGGAGCAGGGGAGTAGCTGGACACAGAGGTTGCTTTAGGCTGACAGCTCACATATCTGCCTGCCACCAACCTCACATCTAATACTTCAGGCACTTGCTCTCTCAGTGCCATCCACCAGCCCAGCCCTGGCACCCGGCCAGGTCCCTGGTGTGGCAGGGCAGGCCAGCTCAGCGGTACCCAGGCTGCTGATAGACGGAGCAGCTGCTGAGCCAAGGAAGGCAGCATGGAGAAGCTGCCAGGGTTGCAGACTGGATGCGCGGCCACAGCTTTGAGGCCTCTCAGGACCTGGGAAACAGCCCCAGAGCAATGGGGTGGAAACACGGAGCTGAGAAACCACCACCAGCTCTGGGGACAGGTGGAGCTAGGCAGAGCCTGGATTGGTTATTTCCGAGGTGACTTCACCTCCTTATCTCTCAGTCGGTCATCGGTAAAAGGGGGGTTGCACCAGGACCTGCCGCATCTCCCGGGTTTCTGTGAGGAGGAAATGGGCAGTGCACGCTAGTGCCTGACACGACCCTGGGCAGCAGATGGTGCTCGACACACGTGCAAATGACAGAGACCCAAGGCCTGTGTGGTTGTCCCTGGGGCAGGCAGCCTTCGGCCTCCTTGACCCATCGTCGACCAAGAGGGCTGATGGGTCTGGACTTTCCAAGACTGGTGATGGGCCAGGCTCCACCAGAACCCCAGAGCGGAGGGAGGCAGGAGGCCCCCAGGGCCCCTCCACCAGCACTCCTCACTTCTGGCCCAGGGCGCATTCCCACAGCTCAATAAGATACTGGCAATGTCGTGGGTACCCTCCATGTTCTTCCCAAGCATGGGAAATCTCTCCCAAGGCTCCTGTGCTGGGGGGTGTGGAGTGGCAGATCCACCATCCTTAAAGGACAGTTTCCCTGAAGGTGCTTGGGGAGATCCAGAAGGCGAGGCCATGATGCTCAGCCAGCTCTAACGGCAAAGGGAATGCAGCTGGCTGCCGGCAGATTAGGGCACCTCTACATCACCTATTTGCATACAGTAAAAATATCTCTGGGAGCGCAATCATGGGCCACTGAGGGGCTGATTAGCGGTATCTGCAGAGTGATAGGAGGGGAGGGCGGCGGGAGGATCAGTCTGGGGCCCGGGGGAGGAAAGCGAGGGTGCTGGCCTGTCTGCAGTGAAGAGCTCCAGAGACCAGCAGAGGGGCCCCTTCAACCCCGGGGCCAGTTCAGGGGCTGCCAGGAGGGTCCCAAGGGCACTATGGACCTTCCACACAGAGAAGCAGTATTGAGTTCCAGGAAAGTGAAGAGCTTCCATTTCGCTATCAGCCAAGCTTCAGCCCTCAGTCACCTGGGGTGAAGAGCCAGAGGCTGAGGATGGGGGCACCCCTTGGGCAGTGATTGGGGGAGTTGGGGGGTGGTAGGCAGAAACACAGCCTTGGTGCAGACCAGCCAAACCTCTGGATAACAAGGCGAAGCTGACAGAGCACGCCTAACCAGTGACAGCGTGCTCAGGGTGGCTGAATGCCAAGTGTCCATAAATCTGCCCGGGTGGCAGCAATACCACCCATAGGACTGGGAGCTTCCTCCTTTCCCCAGGGTCCAGGAAGAATTTTCCCGGCACCTTCCTGCTACACTAAGTGGGACAAGTTCGGGAGAACACAGGAGGGAAGAGACAGCAGGGGGCGGGGATGTGAGGGCGGGGCCGGAGGTGCTGCTGCTTCCAGGTGGGCAGTGTGGGGAGCTTGCTGAACCGCTTTGCTGCCACTGGGCAAAAGGCACAGATGAGTCCCCAGGTCACGACTCCCAGTCCCAGTGTTCAAGCCCTTGCTGCTCTCCTGGTAACTGTAAAAACTGTCCCTAATAACAAGGAACCTCTTCCTGCCACCTAGACTCACAGGTGGGGTGAGCCACGTGGGTGAAGCTTTGCTTCTCAGGTGAGGAAACTGAGGCTCAGAAAGTCTGTAAGTGGCAGAGTAGGGTGGGATATGAAGCAGGACTTGTTTCTTCTGCCACCAAGCCCACTGTCCAATGGGAGGGAAGGAGGGCTCTGGGGCCATGAGGGCCCCTCCCCTCTGCAGCTTGGGGTGTGGGCTGCTATGGGGGGCACCGGCCACTGTGGTCCTCTCAGCCATTTCTTTTTTTGAGACGGAGTCTCGCTCTGTCACCCAGGATGGCGTGATCTCAGTTTATTGCAACTTCTGCCTCCTGAGTTCAAGCGATTCTTCTGCCTCAGCCTCCTGAGTAGCCGGGACTGCAGGTGTGCGTCACCACACCCAGCTAATTTTTCTATTTTTGGTAGAGACAGGGTTTCACTATGGTGGCCAGGCTGGTCTCGAGTACCTGACCTCAGGTGATCCGCCCACCTTGGCCTCCCAAATTGCTGGGATTACAGGCTGAGCCACCACACCTAGCCAATTTCTTTCTTGACTTCCAGACCCCATCCCATTAGTATTTATTGACACTTCAGGTGAGTGGCAAGGAGATATGGGGTCACCAGGAGTCAGAAGGGTGGTTCCTGGACCCCGGCACACAGGAGAGGCCATAACCGCAGCACCTGAGTCTGGCATGGGCCAGCCACCCATTCCAGCGTCCAGTGAATGCTCACTGTCACTCCTGAAAGGTAGATTTATGACCATTCCCATGGTACAGACAGCAAGGTTCAGAGATAGTGAGTGCCTCACCCAGGGTCACAGAGCTGACCTGGGCTGGAACTGGGGCTATTGGACCAGGCTGCTTCTGAGGTATCACCAGCTCCTCTTGGCCTCAGGCTGGGGACACTGGGCCTTTCTCAGGAGCAGTGCCCAGCACAGTACGGGGAAGGGTGCCTAATCCTCCCCACACCCAACATCTCCGGCCGGGTCTGGGCGCTGGGCCATCTCAGTCCACCCTCCCCCACAGGCTGCCGAGAGGGTTGGTGTAAGAAGCCGCTAGATCAATACTGTGCAGTGAGCAGCCGCCACGGTGGGGGAGTGGGGGTGGGGTGGGGGAGGGGGCGAGCGTCTGCTGCCGCTGCCCCAGCCGGCCCTTCCAGCTCCTCCAGCACTCAGATCTGTAGAGCTGGCCGGCAGACCCTCCCCCAGGGCCCTTATCAGACCCCAGGAGATAAGGACACTTTCTACTGGGCTCTGCTTTGCCTCTGTCACCCAGGTTCTGTCTGCAATCTGAGCAGACCCAGGCAGAGTTGCCCAGCCAGGCACAAAAGAAGCCTTGTCAAGGCTGCCAGCGATGGATCCGGCCCCCAGACCTTTTGTGGCCTTGTGAGGTCCTCACCATGCCCATCTCCCCTACCCTGCAGTCTTGGTATTGAGGGCTCTAGGGAGCAGGCCAAGGCTGTGCCCAGCTCTGTACTCCCAGCCTCTAGGCACAGAGCCTGTGCTGAATGGGACGAGTCCTAGGACAGCCAGGGAGCTTGCAGAAGGCGGGGTGCACACTCCAGGCCCACAGGGTCCACCTAGATCAGCAGACCTGAGCCAAGAGTCCACTCACCAGCTGGGTGGCCCCAGTACCATAAAGCCCAGCCACCCCCAAGGCCTCCACGGACTACAGCTGGCCAAAAACTCCAGCCTGCATCCTGCAGACAGGGGGCGCTCACCGCCACCCAAGGCAGCCCATTCTCTCTCCA